ATATGCAAACACTTAGAGTTCTAGAAAATTTTCTTTTTAATTAAATGCTCTGAAAATCAACGAAATAAATAAGAAAGAGTTACTTAGAAAGCCACAATTTAAACTTTTGAAATTACTATTTTATATTTCACACAAGCTCGGTAGAAAGTTTGGCTATTTCGAGTGCTATTTTTAGCCATCAAACATTTGTCACGCAAAGGCCCAGTATGTGACATTGTTTAGCGATTTTCTTGCGAAAAATGAAATATTTTCAAAAACCAATTACACAGCGATTGTTACCTAATCATACCTTATCAATATACAAAATATGAATAGATTTGATATTTCGAGCCTTGCCAAGATATGTCTGATTTTTGCGCGAAGTGGCTCTTAAATTCTTAACTTCCGGTGGTCCAAACGCGACATGACACATAGATAGATTGACTAAAAGGTAAAACTTAAGTCGACCTAGCCTTCGGCTAATAAAAAAAATCCAATTTAGTACTCGTATGTTACTTGTATTTTACTCGTATGTACACCTGTAGCAATAGTTGTATGTTACTCGTACGTTGTCGTACTATGTAGTCGCATGTAGTCGTATGTTACTTGTATGTTACTCGTATGTAGTGTTAGATCTGATCAAATGAATACAGGTAAATGTCATGACGTTTCATGTTCGTGGTCATTAGGCTTATCTTATGTATTTTTAGAATTCACTTAACGAGAAAAATGCCTGCCTTTTAATGCACTAACAACAATGCTATTTGTACGACTCACATATTACCTCTTGCTATTTACATTATTAATTTCAACTACAGGGTATTAGTGTTTCCTGCCTTACTTAAACTCTTGATTTACGTCATCTTATTTCCACAATCTCTGGTATTTTTGTCCTTCCTGTGGCTTTACGAGTTTTAGGGATAATGTGTTTATAGAAGCCTTATCGAGAGGTTATCAAGGAGTAAACGTTTTCATTTCGCTCAACTAATGTTTCCTGCTTTAAAGCTCTTATTTCACTTTGTGTTTTTTCTCTTCTGTTGTCATCTCTTTTTTTGGTATGTAATGTAAGGTCTATGAAAAACCTCCAATTCGCGTTTTATAACAGAAATAGCAKCAGCTTGTTTCTTCAAAAATGAATTTGCAAAAATAGTTGCTTTTTTCGAATTGAAGCAGAATGTTTTTTTTTGGATGTCGTTTTGTTTGTTATTTTTCCTTGTAATAATAAATAGGAACTATAAAATAATTTGTTAGTTTTTGTGTAGCAGTTGAATGATTTTTGGTTATTTTTGATCAATCCATTTACTTTCGATTCATCATTTTACGCATAGTTTGTATTGATTATGTTTTATGTGCGTATCCACTAGCTTATTTATCGATTAATACATCAGTTTATTCATTCATCCAAACACTCATTCATTTATTCTACATCGACACTGGTGAACAACGCTCGCGTCTTGAAATCTACCTATTTTATTTGTAAACAGAGCACCTGGCGATTTTTGTGAAAGTTTTTTACAATTTATAAGCTCGTTAAACGATATATAAGATTCATATTTCCATCAATCTTTGTTCATAATAGGTTCTTTTAGTATGTAGTTTCTATTTTCATCTTGTCATTATATTTTGAGAAAATGAGGTTTTTCGTCTTTCATCAACAATTGCTTCCGTTAGTTAACCATGCATCTCTTTGTTGTTGTTTTTCAGAGAACCGTACCGAAGACATTTGAGAAATCGATGAGAAATCTTCAAGAGAAGGTGACTTTACATGGCCAGTACAGAAATCCTGTTTTTTTTTTGTTGTTGTTGTTTTTTCTCACTTGATATTAATTTCGTCTCGTTGTTGATTAGATCTCTGATAAAAAGAAGACTATCAAGGAGGCGAAAAAGGACTTGAAGGACCTGAAAGCCACAGCTAAAGAGAAGAAGGCGGAATCGGCTGTAAAGTGAGTGTCTCCACGATACAATCCACATCTCATATCGAGAGAGTTATTATCAATTTTGATACTGATGAAACTCAACTCACGTTATTAGTAAGGAATTGGTGGTTTTAGTTATTAACACTTGTGTTCTCACTTATTTACTTAAAATATATTCCATATCAATGAATGTGAAGCCTACTATAGGTGACTACCTTTTTCGATAAATACGACATTGCGAGGCCGGAATTTTGCTAAATAAGAGAGATACAGTTTTCCCTGCGAACCCCAGCCCACACATAGCCGATTTTTGGAATGGCTAAACTGTTCTTTGTGGATTTCCACGCTGCGAATCGAAATCCAAAATGCATCAGAATATACAGCTGTTTTAAACTAGACTCTCTTAGAGCGTGAAGTCGGGCAAACTTTTTTGGAAATTTGAGAAAGAGGATAATACATGGACGCGCGGATACGCGAACGAGTGAAAGATTCTTAACACGAAAAAATAAAATTCGTATCTCCAAGCGACCATGTAATATTCGGTCTATCATACATGATTATATGAAAGCAAATAATGTCAT